ACCATCCACCCTTTTTGAAGGGACGAATACAGAGACCTGGTGCACCGAATGCCACAAGGTTCCCAAACGACCCTCCGCAGGTTTTGAATTCAGAGTTGTACTTCTCCTAGACCAGTTGCCATCCAAGGCTATAGAACCCAGTCTGTCCTGCTATTTTACCCATAGCTGGAGGGAGAGGAAGAAGATTCACACCTTTCCCAAGGGTATTAGCACGTAAGTGAATGTAATAATATATATATATATATATATATATATATATATATATATATATAATTTATATATATATTATTTACATATATGCACAGTACTTATTGGAAACACTCAATATAAGTAATAGAGCTAACATATTTAGTTGGATGTATGTCTGCGTACATATGAGTGACATTCCAACGACAATTTTTCCTCCCACTACCATAAAAACAATAATATACAGAACCATATGTGTGTGTCAGATTAAATATAAATCCATTACTTCTTTAGAAAGTGCTTTGTTTACATTACAGATATAAAGCTTTTGAGATCAGGTTGAAGAGGATTGTATTACTTAAAAAGGGAAAATAGAACTTAGCTTATCTTTATAGTAGTTATATATATATATATAGTTTGTAGTTGGGATTGTAGTTTGCCATTTAAAGTTGTAATACACAGGAACAAAACGTTCATTTTACAAATGCCACCATAATTTTAAAAAATCACAATTCTTTACATTAAAAGTAATTCGAGGGAGTACTAATAAATGTTGTACAAAATATAAACACACACCAAAAACATTATATTACATCACCAAACTTTATTGAATCCATCCTTAATTCTTAAAGAATCTAATGTCTGTGTGTCTAAAATGAACATTGTATACATAAAAACGTTCCCAAATCAACACACGAAAAAACCACCAAACAATATTTGCTCAATGTTCACAGTTTGGGAAACATCTAGGATGGTTCCCCAACCATTTCATCATTCACATGGTTTTTACCAAGGGAATTTCATTAATTAATTATAATTTTTACCAATTGAATTGCATTGCCAAATGATTTTCATTGCAGCTGATTTTTAGCATGTGAAATGCATTACAAATGTACCATGAGACCTCCATTGCAGATGATTTTTACCATGTGAATTGCATTACAAATGTACCATGAGATTTCCATTGCAGCTGATTTTTACCATGTGAATTGCATTACAAATGTACCATGAGACTTCCATTGCAGCTGATTTTTACCATGTGAATTGCATTACAAATGTACCATGAGACTTCCATTGCAGCTGATTTTTACCATGTGAATTGCATTACAAATGTACCATGAGACCTCCATTGCAGATGATTTTTACCATGTGAATTGCATTACAAATGTACCATGAGACTTCCATTGCAGCTGATTTTTTACCATGTGAATTGCATTACAAATGTACCATGAGACTTCCATTGCAGATGATTTTACCATGTGAATTGCATTACAAATGTACCATGAGACTTCCATTGCAGATGATTTTTACCTTATGAATTGCATTATAAATGTACCATGAGACTTCCATTGCAGATGATTTTTTAGCATGGAAATTTATTACAAATGTACCATGAACCTCCATTGCAGATGATTTTTTACCATGTGAATTGCATTACAAATGTACCATGAGATTTCCATTAGGGCTGATTTTTACCATGTGAATATCATTACAAATGTACCATGAGACTTCCATTATTATGATTTTACCATTATATTCATTTAAATGGACATGAGACTTCCATTGCAGCTGATTTTACCATGTGAATTGCATTACAAATGTACCATGAGACTTCCATTGCAGCTGATTTTACCATGTGAATTGCATTACAAAATACAATGAGATTTCCATTGCAGCTGATTTTTTTACCATGTGAATTGCAAATTACAAATGTACCATGAGACTTAATTAAAGCTGATTTTTACCATGTGAATTTATTACAAATGTACCATGTGACTTCCATTGCAGCTGATTTTTACCATTTTGCATTACAAATGTACCATGAGACTTCCATTGCAGCTGATTTTTGCCATGTGAATTGATTACAAATGTACCATGAGACTTCCATTTGCAGCTGATTTTTACCATTTGAATTGCATTACAAATGTACCATGAGACTTCCATTGCAGATGATTTTTACCTTATGAATTGCATTACAAATTTACCATGAGATTTCCATTGCAGCTGATTTTACCATGTGAATTGCATTACAAATGTACCATGAGACTTCCATTGCAGCTGATTTTTACCATGTGAATTGCATTACAAATGTACCATGTGACTTCCATTGCAGCTGACTTTTTTACCATGGAATTGCATTACAAATGTACCATGAGACTTCCATTGCAGCTGATTTTTTGCCATTTTTTACAAATGTACCATGAGACTTCCATTGCAGCTGATTTTTACCATGTTAATTGCATTACAAATGTACCATGAGACTTCCATTGCAGATGATTTTTACCTTATGAATTGATTACAAATGTACCATGAGATTTCCATTGCAGCTGATTTTTACCATGTGAATTGCATTAAAATGTACCATGAGACTTCCATTGCAGCTGATTTTTACCATGTGAATTGCATTACAAATGTACCATGAGACTTCCATTGCAGCTGATTTTTACCATGTGAATTGCATTACAAATGTACCATGAGACTTCCATTGCAGATGATTTTTACCTTATGAATTGCATTACAAATGTACCATGAGATTTCCATTGCAGCTGATTTTTACCATGTGAATTGCATTACAAAAAACCCATGCAGACTTCATTGCAGCTGATTTTTACCATGTGAATTGCATTACAAATGTACCATGTGACTTCCATTGCAGCTGATTTTTACCATGTGAATTGCATTACAAATGTACCATGAGACTTCCATTGCAGCTGATTTTTGCCATGTGAATTGCATTACAAATGTACCATGAGACTTCCATTGCAGCTGATTTTTACCATGTGAATTGCATTACAAATGTACCATGAGACTTCCACTGCAGCTGATTTTTACCATGTGAATTGCATTACAAATGTACCATGAGACTTCCATTGCAGCTGATTTTTACCATGTGAATTGCATTACAAATGTACCATGAGACTTCCATTGCAGATGATTTTTACCTTATGAATTGCATTATAAATGTACCATGAGACTTCCATTGCAGCTGATTTTTACCATGTGAAATGCATTACAAATGTACCATTAGACCTCCATTGCAGATGATTTTTACCATGTGAATTGCATTACAAATGTACCATAAGATTTCCATTGCAGCTGATTTTTACCATGTGAATTGCATTACAAATGTACCATGAGACTTCCATTGCAGCTGATTTTTACCATGTGAATTGCATTACAAATGTACCATGAGACTTCCATTGCAGCTGATTTTTACCATGTGAATTGCATTACAAATGTACCATGAGACTTCCATTGCAGCTGATTTTTACCATGTGAATTGCATTACAAATGTACCATGAGACTTCCATTGCAGCTGATTTTTACCATGTGAATTGCATTACAAATGTAACACATGAGACTTCCATTGCAGATGATTTTACCTTATGAATTGCATTATAAATGTACCATGAGACTTCCATTGCAGCTGATTTTAGCATGTGAATTGCATTACAAATGTACCATGAGACTTCCATTGCAGCTGATTTTTACCATGTGAATTGCATTACAAATGTACCATGAGACTTCCATTGCAGCTGATTTTTTACCATGAAAATTGCATCACAAATATACCATGAGACTTCCATTGCAGATGATTTTACCATGTGAATTGCATCACAAATGTACCATGAGACTTCCATTGCAGATGATTTTTACCATGTGAATTGCATTACAAATGTACCATGAGACTTCCATTGCAGCTGATTTTTACCATGTGAATTGCATCACAAATGTACCATGAGACTTCCATTGCAGATGATTTTTACCATGTGAATTGCATCACAAATGTACCATGAGACTTCCATTGCAGATGATTTTTACCATGTGAATTGCATTACAAATGTACCATGAGACTTCCATTGCAGATGATTTTTACCATGTGAATTGCATTACAAATTTACCATGAGGCTTCCATTGCAGATGATTTTTACCATGGGAATTTTATTAGTGGGATTTCTAGGGAAAATCAAGGCAAAATAGTGACAGATCTGGAATTAAAGTATTACTCACCAAATAGGGCCATTATTATTATTATTATCATTATTATTATTATTATTATTATTATTATTATATTCTCTTAAATGGACAGTTATCTACTTGTAAAATTCATATTTTATGAATAACTTCTAAATTTCATCTCTACCACATGTTAAGATATAATGAGTTGTGAAATACTGTATAAAATCAAGCAGTTAGCCTTGAAAGACAATCTACATGTGTTAAACTAAAAACAAAGATAATGACTCCATAAACACTAATATAAAGGACATTTAATCAACTTATCTACTGAAACATTCATACCTTGTGATTCCCATTTTGGTTTACCTGATTCACAATTTGATTTAGGTGATTCACATTTTGGTTTACGTGATTCACAATTTGATTTACGGGATTCCCATTTTGGTTTACGTGATTCACGATTTGATTTACGTGATTCACAATTTGATTTACATAATCCACAATTTGATTTATGTGATTCCCATTTTGGTTTATGTGATTCACAATTTGATTTACGTGATTCACAATTTGATTTACATAATTCCCAAGCGCAATCAAACAGAAAATTAGGAGCATAGGTCACTCAGTTGGAATCAAGTAAGTATTCTCAGTATCTGTCTATATTTCTGAGATGAGGTATTATGTACACTATTTACATTATTAGGACTACTGTCCTCATCTTTGTTGCCATATTTATCACAACTAATAGATGGATAGATAGATAGATCTGTCTATATTTCTGAGATGAGGTATTATGTACACTATTTACATTATTAGGACTACTGTCCTCATCTTTGTTGCCATATTTATCACAACTAATAGATGGATAGATAGATAGATAGATAGATCTGTCTATATTTCTGAGATGAGGTATTATGTACACTATTTACATTATTAGGACTATTGTTCTCATCTTTGTTGCCATATTTATCACAACTAATAGATGGATAGATAGATAGATAGATAGATGATAGATCTGTCTATATTTCTGAGATGAGGTATTATGTACACTATTTACATTATTAGGACTACTGTCCTCATCCTTGTTGCCATATTTATCACAACTAATAGATGGATAGATAGATAGATAGATAGATAGATCTGTCTATATTTCTGAGATGAGGTATTATGTACACTATTTACATTATTAGGACTACTGTCCTCATCTTTGTTGCCATATTTATCACAACTAATAGATGGATAGATAGATAGATCTGTCTATATTTCTGAGATGAGGTATTATGTACACTATTTACATTATTAGGACTACTGTCCTCATCTTTGTTGCCATATTTATCACAACTAATAGATGGATAGATAGATAGATAGATAGATAGATCTGTCTATATTTCTGAGATGAGGTATTATGTACACTATTTACATTATTAGGACTATTGTCCTCATCTTTGTTGCCATATTTATCACAACTAATAGATAGATAGATAGATAGATAGATAGATAGATAGATCTGTCTATATTTCTGAGATGAGGTATTATGTACACTATTTACATTATTAGGACTACTGTCCTCATCCTTGTTGCCATATTTATCACAACTAATAGATAGATAGATAGATAGATAGATCTGTCTATATTTCTGAGATGAGGTATTATGTACACTATTTACATTATTAGGACTATTGTCCTCATCTTTGTTGCCATATTTATCACAACTAATATATAGATAGATAGATAGATAGATAGATAGATAGATAGATAGATAGATCTGTCTATATTTCTGAGATGAGGTATTATGTACACTATTTACATTATTAGGACTACTGTCCTCATCCTTGTTGCCATATTTATCACAACTAATAGATAGATAGAAAAATAGATAGATAGATAGATAGATAGATAGATCTGTCTATATTTCTGAGATGAGGTATTATGTACACTATTTACATTATTAGGACTACTGTCCTCATCTTTGTTGCCATATTTATCACAACTAATAGATGGATAGATAGATAGATCTGTCTATATTTCTGAGATGAGGTATTATGTACACTATTTACATTATTAGGACTACTGTCCTCATCTTTGTTGCCATATTTATCACAACTAATAGATAGATAGATAGATAGATAGATAGATAGATAGATAGATCTGTCTATATTTCTGAGATGAGGTATTATGTACACTATTTACATTATTCGGACTATTGTCCTCATCTTTGTTGCCATATTTCAACCACTTGAAAAAGGCCGGAGCATAAAACGGCCGAAACATTGTAATAAATATGGCGACAAAGATGAGCACAATAGTCTGAATAATGTAAATAGTGTAAGTATTCTCAACATCCTCCTGTAGAACCTCATCTCTGTTACCCCCAACCTCCTCTTTCATATAGAAGGACTGACATTGTATAGCAGTTCAGCACTGTTTTCTTTGTTTCTAATGATATTTTACGGTTTCTTAATTCTTTAGTTTTAGTTTTTTTGGAAGGTATTTTTGCTATTTCAATCTGCCTTTGGATTTTGGTGTCAGTTCTTTCACCATCTGTTGAAACATTTGCCACTAAACTTGTTGAAAAACAAATATTTGCTCTGTAAAAAAAAAAGTCCTCCTTTTAAGTTACAAATTGAAGATACCAAAAACAAACAAGTACTAAAAATTTAAATATCTGGCAAGTGTTTTAACGGGCACTGAAATTGGGATAGCGAAAGGTGCCTTCTCAAAAAGCCAAGCAAAGTATTAAGAAACAGAAAAAAAATTAATTAGAAACAAATAAAGAGTACTGAACCATTATGTAATATCTTAGCAAATTCTATTGGTCTTTTCCTGGCATTTCAGCTTCAGTCACTTTCCCATCGCTGTAATGTAGCTTACCTGTGCCTTTTCTATAAATAATTTCATGCTAATTGTTCTGATGAACTTTTCTCTGTGATACCTAGACTTTATGAATTTAAGTGCAGTACTAGATTGGCCCCAAAGCCTCATCATTTTATAGTTGAATTAGCTACATGTAACCATAAGTTCTATGTTAATATGGCTTAAATGAGTCTCTATTACTCAGACGTCATTCGTACCATTCAAGAAACTGCTGGTTCAATCTGCCGTTCTTGTTTTCTGCACACTTCAAAACATAAACCCGTCTTATTCCTTCTCACTGCTTCAGCCTTCTTTTATTAGGCCAACACCACGGTTTACCAACCAATCAGCATTCTTCGCTTTTATTCTCAGTTATCCAGGTAAATAGCCTCCTCCACTTTGACCAATCAGCACACAACTTGAACATCAAACTGTACAAAAATCAGCATATGACTTGCACATCAAACTGTACAAAAAACCCTCATTATCACACATACTGCTGGAATGCTATATGGGAGAATAATGCCATTTCAAGGAGCAAAATTGCCGATGCCACATGCCACATATTGAGGTAAGACCCTTATTTTCCTTTGTACCAAATGCAAGCCACTCTGGTTCACTTGCCTCTACAAGACTGTTTACCGCAGTTAATAGTTTGTTTTCTTGCACTTCTTGCTCTTGGAACGCTCTTCCAGCTCAATCTTTTCCAGCCAACTTTGATTTTCCAAAACTTAAATTCAATGCCAATCATTATCTACCCCATTCTTGATTACTCTTCTATTGCACTAGCTCCTTAATAATGTTTCTCACTTTTTTATTGTCCTTACTGACTCAGTAACCCCCTTGCACCTTAGTGGCTTTACTACCTTGCTTGGAGTTTAATAATTTAAAAAAAAATAACACAAAAATAAAAATAGCAGAAGTTCTTTCTTTTCTTTTTTTCTCCATATCTCGTTCTCTGATGAAACTTTAATTTTTAAAGGGAGACATGTTAGATTGATAAATATTTTCTATTTGTTCTTTATTCTATTGTAGGGATACAAAAGGCAATTATCTCCCTTTCGCTGAGATAATGTCATGCAGGTCATGTGATGGTCGGTGAGCGGCATCAGGGTATAGAGTGATGAAAGGCAGTTGCACTATAAAGCCTGGAGAAGAAGGACATCTCTAGGCCTCAGTGGTAGGTCTAACAGGAACAAAACATATGACTTTATCAGCTTCATAGAGAAACCAGTGTACCTCCAGTTTTTCCTTTGAGGAATATTATAAAAAAAACTCCTTTTTTTTTAAACACTACTTGTTCTTACCTCCACAGATTAAACATGGTTTTGTTGAAAGAAGTAAGAATTATTTTCCTGGGGTATGCTAAAGGAGAAGGTGTACTCAATGAAAATCACAGATGCAACACACTTGATTGAATGCATAAAGAGTGAATGTGCTGAAATTGACTGCAATGTGAAGTTATTGCATTGAGTTCACATGAATCTTGCAAAGTGCATCAATCTTTGCATTACAAATGATGGAGATCATATCAAAGATGTTATTTGTTAATATTCCAATTCAGTAAAATGTTGAAAATGTTATTTCTTTAAAAATATGTATTTTTGCCTATGTGTCCAGACTTGAGACTGTATATGTATATATAAATATATGTACGACATAGTATCATAAAAGACTCTTGGAGAGCAAAGCATGTTTCTCATTCCTTTTTCTTACAGTTATTCTGTCTGTGAAATACAGTGTTATTATATCATGTATATAATAATGCCAATAATGGGGGAATTGCAAATAGGAGAATAAACTTTTCTACCATAGTGTGCCCATTACTATAATATATATATATATATATATATATATATATATATATATATATATATATTATAATTTTTCTTTTTAAAAATATGAGTCCATCACAACACAGAAAATTTCCATGTTTCAAAACTGAGACTAAATTTATAAATTTAATTATAAAATTAAACTTAAAATCCATAGTCTCATTCCACTGTCAAATGATACAACTCACTGAAGTAAGTATATTGGATACATAAGCTGTCTAGGAAAATTAAAACCCAACCACTCTTAAATTAAAATAGATTTTCCTTAACCTTAACAACTCATAATATCAATATTGTCTGTGCTTATAAATTAAATAAATTTCTTTTAAATTTTATTCCTAACATCGCTTGACAATGGAACGAGACTATGGATTTTAAGTTTAATTTTTATAATTAAATTTATAAATTTAGTTTCAGTTTTGAAACATGGAAATTTTCTGTGTTGCAATGGAATCATATTTTTAAAAAGAAAATAATTATAATATTTCACTCTACTGTTGGCATCAAGCACTTTTTTTAAAAATAAAATAATTGCTAAGAACACCAGATTGTAACTCTTACTGTTTCTTTCTTATTATTTTAACACACACATATACATATATATATATATATATATATATATATATATATATATATATATATATATATATATATACATATATATATATATATATAGTTAAATTCCCAGATCAATTCTGTGGACAAGACAAATTGGTATAAGATGACAACTGGAAAAAAATCTTAGGTTTTGCCAACACGTTTTGTCTCTTTGACTTTTTCAAGGTGAAAATGAAATTGAAATGTTTTTGTTGTTATAACTACATTACAAAAACCAAATTTAAAAAAACATTAATCTGGAAATTTAACTATATTATCGACATGGAAAGTAAAAAAAACTCTTAGTAAAAAGGAAATTTACATTAACCAGAAAGAGGCTTATGCAGAAGCATCTCCCACTTTTTTAAATTTGGATTTTGTAATGTAACTATAACAACAAAAATATTTTGATTTCATTTTTGCCCTGAAAAAGTCGAGATGAAATGCATCGGCAAAAACTAAGATTTTTTTTTTCCAATTGTCATCTTATACCATATATATGTGTGTGGAGAGAGAGAGAGATTAAGATATGAAGTTATTGCTGTACCTATATTAATCTGCAAAATGTGTTTCTTGGTTTGAAACAGATGTTGACAGAGATGCAGAAGTGTTAATAGGATCTTCATTTGCAGAATTTAAAACATGATTGAATCCAAATTCATGGCTCTTATTCTGCAGTGCATTCATAATTTTTTATTTTCTTTACTTTTTTTTAACCAATTGTCTAACATGTTCTTTGAATGTGTGCAAATGTTGTTGCTTATTCTGTTTTGCATATATTGTTTTAAAAAAGACTTAAAAATACTTACTCGGCAACATTTATTTTCTTTTATGTTTCTAACAAAGGCCAAAGACATTATTTGATTAATTAACTAGTTTTTCACTCCCTTCTCACAGCATTCTCAAAAGCGACATTGTTACTAAGAACTCAGCTAAGGTCAGCACTGCTCTGTGTAGTCAAGGGGATGGCTTAGTGGTGGATTGTTGAACTAGAGACAGTAAGTTCTGCTGTTCAAATTCCAGAGTTAGCACCGGCTTTGAAATTCCAAAATGAACAGTTATAATTCTTCAATTTATTGATTTTAACACAATCTTTTATCTGAGATATTAGATATTCTTCAGCTAGTTACCCAGTATAGCTTAAATATGGGATAATGCCAAATGCATGGACCTCCCAGTGAGAATCAAACCCACTGATAAGTCATAATTAGTCTAGTGCAACAAGCTTGCTAACCATTACTCCATATAGAAGCGCGCAGGTATTCTTCAACCATTTTGGGTTTTTACTATAGGACCCTTTGCCAAATTACATTTCATAATACTTTGGTTTGAGATTTTTATTTTACTATTCATTGCAAACTGAATTTGCTCGTATTTTAACTCAACTGTATTTAATAGCAAAAGTGATGTAAACATAGTCAGTCAGTTATGTGCCATACATAATACACACTTAGGCAATCATGTATCTTTCAATACATGACTGACGAGGCAGATTTTTTCCCACAGTAGGTTGCCATTTCTTTGTGCAGTACACCAGTTGCCATCCAAGACTATAGAACCCAGTCTGTCCTGCTATTTACCCATAGCTGGGGTGGGAGAAGAAGAGGATTCATACCTTTCCCAAGGGTATTAGCACGTAAGTGAATGCAATGGATTTGACTGGAATTCGAACTCGGCTCACCAACAAAACATTTTTAAAGCAAAAGCAGTTGGCATCCAAGGCTATAGAACCCAGTCTGTCCTGGGGGAGGGAGAAGAAGAGGATTCATACCTTTCCCAAGGGTATTAGCACGTAAGTGAATGCAATGGATTGCAATGGAATTTGAACTGGCTCACCAACAAAACATTTTAAAGCAAAGCAGTTGGCATCAAGGCTATAGAACTTGGTCTGTCCTGCTATTTACCCATAGCTGGGGAGGAGAAGAAGAGGATTCATACCTTTTATTAGCAGCAAGTGAATGCAATGGATTTGACTGGAATTCGAACTCGGCTCACCAACAAAACATTTTTAAAGCAAAAGCAGTTGGCATCCAAGGCTATAGAACTTGGTCTGTCCTGCTATTTACCCATAGCTGGGGAGGGAGAAGAAGAGGATTCATACCTTTCCCTAGGATATTAGCACGTAAGTGAGTGTAATAGATTCAATTGGAATTTGAACTCGGCTCTCCGATTCCTCAATCCAAGCTGCTATCCATTACTCCACCGTGCCTCCTGGTGGAGATATAGACAAAAAGAAAAAGAATCTAAATAAAATCAACTAGCTTATGTGCACAAAACACATATTAAAAAAAATAATTTTAAATTATCAGCGTCTCTCTTTCATTTATGGCCATGTGTTGTCGTATTAGCATAAATATAAAATTAGTCCAGTGAACTCTTACACAAAAAACTTTTTCCATTTAATCATACTTCTTTCCCCTAAGATTGTTCTTGATGGCAGAGTAATGGATAGTGGCTTGGATTGAGGAACCGGAGATCCAAGTTCAAATTCCAGTTCATTAGATTCACTTACACACTAATACCCTTGGGAAAGGTATGAATCCAACTCTTCTCCCCCCAGCTATGGGTAAATAGTTGAACAGACTGGGTTTTATAGCTTTGTGTGTTAACCAGTCTGAGAGGAGGAAAACTCTGAATTCAAAACTGTATGTAACGCTGGTGATTATTCGTATTCACCCAATGATCGCTAATATTCACTTACGAGCTAATACCCTTGGGAAAGGTATGATTCCAATGCTCCTCCCTCTTTCAGCTATGAGTAAATAGTAGAATAGACTGGGTTTTATAGCCTTGGGTGGCAACCTGTCTAGGAGAAGGAAAACTGTATGTAGCCCTGGCAAAGCAAATACTATGCAGCTAAGTAAACGATCATTCGCATTGATTCAATGATCACTACTATTCACTTACAAGCTAATACCCTTGGGAAAGGTATGAATCCAACATTTCTCCCCCTCTCAGTTATGGGTAAATAGTAGAACAGACTAGGTTCTATAGCCTTGGGTGGCAACCTGTCTAGGAGAAGAAAAACTCTGAATTCAAAACTCTATGCAGCTAAGGAAAGTATTATACACATTGACTTGACGATCTTGGCTACGGTCAAGTCTTTTTTTCTATATATAACAGGATGTTCTGTTATTTTAAACTGGACAAATAAAATGGCATAATTTTTTTATGTTTTATTGATTTATATATTATTGTACCTTTGCCAAATACAATGGACAGTCAATGAAGATGATGATGGTGATGATGGTGATGATTTCTACTAGCTGAGTTATCTTCAGAAGTTCTTCAATGTTGATATGATCAGACAACCTATGGTTTGCCATGGACCTCATGAGATGATTTGGAAGGGTCTCAATTCATTAGCTTAAAGTTGAGGTCCAGTTATCGACTATGATTCCATGAGGAACAACGAGCGATGTATAGGTTTTCTAGGTCTTAATTTTGATGCTATAAAGTATCTGATTAGATGTAAATAGTTTTTTTTTTATTCCACCCAAAGCTGATCCTGTGTTGAACAACGGCTCTCTAACAAGAATAATAATTTTATATTTACAACATTCTAAAAACTAATACAATTAGAACTAGTGTAGACGCTCGGGTGTCCCACATTAAAACCAGCCTTGTGTCACATGACATCACCATGCGAAGACGAGTAAATACCTACTATTAGAACTAATTTGATTTGGTTGGTTTATTTTGTTTTACAGATATCAACCTCAATAGGCTATTTAATGCTGACAAGATTTTTAGGATTGATTCATATGAATAGAATATGTATTCTTTGGTTTAGATTGGTTTGGTTTATTTTGTTTTACAGATATCAACCTCAATAGGCTATTTAATGCTGACAAGATTTTTAGGATTGATTCATATGAATAGAATATGTATTCTTTGGTTTAGATTGGTTTGGTTTATTTTGTTTTACGGCATATCAACCTCAATGGGTTATTTAATGCTGACAAGATTTTTAGGATTGATTCATATGAATAGAATATGTATTCTTTGGTTTAGATTGGTTTGGTTTATTTTGTTTTACAGCATATCAACCTCAATAGGCTATTTAATGCTGACAAGATTTTTAGGATAGGTTCATATGAATAGAATATGTATTCTTTGGTTTAGATTGGTTTGGTTTATTTTGTTTTATGGCATATCAACCTCAATAGGCTATTTAATGCTGACAAGATTTTTAGGATAGGTTCATATGAATAGAATATGTATTCTTTGGTTTAGATTGGTTTGGTTTATTTTGTTTTACAGATATCAACCTCAATAGGCTATTTAATGCTGACAAGATTTTTAGGATTGATTCATATGAATAGAATATGTATTCTTTGGTTTAGATTGGTTTGGTTTATTTTGTTTTACGGCATATCAACCTCAATAGGCTATTTAATGCTGACAAGATTTTTAGGATAGGTTCATATGAATAGAATATGTATTCTTTGTAAGAAATCAGTTTGTAGATCAGGGATCATTAACGTATTTTTATAAAGTGGGATTTTGTCAAAAGTCAAATGTCTTGCGGGTAATTTTTTTTTTTTTTTTTTTCAAAAATGTATTGCTGGTATTTTTACAATAAAAATCTATTTTTATCCTTTCATAGAGCTTTGACCCCAGTTTGATCAATAGCTGGGACTCTAACAGGTGCTACCACGAGGTCAAGGTGGACCTGGGAACAACAGCAATTAGGAGGCGGTTTCACATTCCTCAAAACGTCTCAATCAGAGGCCTTGCTGCCAGATGTAGTTTATCATCATACCTAGGACACAATCAGAACTAATGCAATGCAATATTTACCAACTTATAAAGAAATAAATGTGAAAATTTTCATTCATAAATTTGTAAACATTTACTAAATAATTAAATTATTAATTAATGTGAACCAGTTATAAGGAAATCCTTATTATTTACAATTTTGTAAAGTTTGAATCGATCAGCAATTAGCCAGTATTTTGCCAAAAGAGAGAGAAAGAGAGAGTGAGAGATAGGCATATATATATATATATATATATATATATATATATATATATATATATAATATTACATGTAAAGATTACTTAACTTTGAAATATCAATTTTATCCTGACTTCAAAGTTTCATGGTAAAATTTCTTGGTAAATTCTTCAGGGGGTTCCTGAAGACTGGAAATTTTACCAAGAAATTTTACCAAGAAACTTCGTAGTTGGGATAAAATTGATATATATATATATATATATATATATATATATATATATATATGAATTGGGATCAAATATAGATGTGAATCTGAAAGAATGATAAGATAAAAATCAAAGAGGAAATGTTTATCAATCTAACATGTTTCACTTTTATTACAGCTTTGTCAGAGAATGAGAAAAATATTTCTTCATATCTCATTCTCTGATGAAGCTTTAACATAAGTTAAACATATGAGATTGATAAACATTTCATATTTGTTCTTTATCTTGTCATATACAAGGCAGTTGGGTAAATTGTTGATAAGAGAAACCCGGATATAAGAGAGATTTTCTCTTGTCCAAAATTAGAGCCTGTGTTAATGTGTATAAAATAGACCAAACCCTGATATAAGAGAAACCCGGATATAAGAGACTTCTTCTCTGGTCCCGACAAATCTCTTATATCTGGGTTACACTGTATTTTATATTTTTAATTTCACATATGCTCCTTGTTTGTTTTTGATTTCGTCAACTGCACAATATATTAGGTTCAGTCAGGCACTATCTGTAAGAAAAAAAGCGCCATGACGCAATTCACTCTACCAGAAATTTGGAAACTGCATGCTGCACTGCTTGGCATTTGCACCAGAAGCTCCAATACAAACATTTCAGGGTGTTTTTGTAGCAATCTGAGGACAGTGCAGAGGATTTGAAATGAGTTGGATGAGTCTAATGGTGATTATGAAGGTGCTT